TAGTGGAAGGTGTCCCTGCTGCTGGCAGGGGGGTTGGGACTGGATGAGCTTTAAGGTCCCTTTCAACCCAAACCATTCTATGATTCTATGATTCTACAAACTCTTCTCCAGGGACAGGAGCCGTCAACAAAAGTACCATCCACAACAACAAAGTGGTTGATGTGAAGAGATGGATGAGAAAAGCCATTTTATCTGGACTGCGCCAACTTTGTCTGTGAGTCCTCTGAATGCCACACTGATGCAGGAAGCATGTTTATATCTGCCATCTGCCACCAAGATCAACACAAGCTGTGGTACCGTAGAGCTGAAACAACTTTTCCACAATAGCTATAGCAACCTTTCGTTTCAACAACTGCTTAAAGAAATGATGCAGGCAAGGAGGAACCGGAACTGTTGTGGTCTTGTTCGCATTTGTGTTCTCAAACGTTATGTATGGGAAACAGCACAAACCCAGCGACTGCAGGAGATGAGGCAAATCCAGCTGTAAGTGAGCAGAAGAAATAATCTTTTTTCATCTTTTGCAGAGCAGTGGCTGGAGGTGCTGTACAAGATCTAGGCAGAGTTCAGGCTGGAGTAACATAGTCAGATGTGCTAGGGCTGGCTTTGGAAGCCATCGAAACAAAGAGCAGGGAAAACAAGACTTCACATTGCCCTGAAATGGGGAAGCAAGGCTGGGTGGGATGGCCAGCAGCAGAGACAGGAACTGAGTGCAGACTCTGCCACTGTCTCTGTGTTTGCTACAGGAGACCTAGAAACTATCTTCAAAACCAAATTCATCAACTTCCTGTGCCACAAGCTGCAAGTGCAGTTTCCAGAAGAGCTGTAGTACATCCCCCATGTGAGTATCTATCAAGATAGTGAGTGTCTATCAAGCCACACTCTTGCTGCAGTGGGGACTGGGACCCTGTGTCCCACCATTTGCCTCCCCTCTGAATTTAAAATACTGTCTGGAGTCTGAGTTGGAAGAACACACGTGTCATATTTTCTCCTTGCCTGTCTGATATCAGATTGTTCAATAGCTACATGAGTGATTTTGCTGTAGCTGCACTAGGGTTAAACTGCTGTTAGAGGTTGTGTCATGTGCCTTTTTTTTTCTGAACTATGTGCAGCTTGACTGATCTCCAAATAATTTATCTTCATTCATGTGACGGCTACTCCTTTTTTTTCTTCCCTCACTCAGTTCTTTCTGCAAGACGAGCTTGAAGCCATAATGAGCAGGGTCAATGGGGAGGGTGACACGCTGCTCCAGCAGTGCGTTGGGGTGCTGTGAGGTTTTCTGACAGCCGTGCACACAAGCAGGTGACACCCAGCACTTTGAAGGCAAATAACACTGGGTATAAATGTTGTAGTTTCAGTCCTTCACCCTTTCTTCTTTTAATTTAAAAAATGGTTGTTTTGGCAGGGTAGGATGAAGTGAGGAGTGTTTTTAGTTCCCACTTGGTTTCCTTTCAAAACATTTCATCTTTTTTGTCCTGCTGCCTCCTTCTCCCCGTCTTATTTGTGCAACAGAGATGTTCCAGGAGGACAAGAGAGTAGCATGGGGTATGCTGAACATCTCAGGTCAGCCATAACCTGGTGAAGGTGCAATGAATCACTGCTCTGTACCAACAAAAGTCACATCTACAGGTGAGGACTGGACATGGGGAACGTCCCAGAGATGAGACTCTGCTCTTTGAGTTAAAGAGCTGACAAAGAGAAGAGCTCGGCTGTGACAGAGGCCAGACCAAGCTACAGTCATGCTGCTTTCTAAAACCTCCTTTGCCTCTAATCAGGGACTAATAGAGAATGAATTACAGATCTTCTGCCCATTCTGTATGCTCAGAAGCAACTTTCTGGCCTTGTCTTGAAGCTAATGTCAAATAACTTGAACTTCTTCCTGCCTGGGAGGAGCTGATGACCAGAAGGACAAATTCCTCCATGCTTTCTTTGAGTCACCTGCAAGTCACCTCACAACACCCACTGGAGCTTTGCTAATCACACAACTGTATCCCCTTCTCATTCCCCTCCTTCTTCTTCCCCGTTCGTTTGAGAATGCCCACAATTTATTTCAACTGTCTATAGAGAGATCAGCAGAGAGACAAACCTAATTTATAGGAGAACAAGACATCCCCACAAAGCCTGAGAGCTGGTGTTTGATGGCATTACTATCACCCAGCATCACTATGATTCATCACTAGGACCCACAGCAATAATTTATACTGATACAAACCAACAGTATTGATGTAGCAAATCATCCAAGTCACTGCTGAGTTATAAATCCTCTTTTCTTCCCCCCCCCACTCTGCGCAGCTGCAGCTACATGATCAAAAAAAGTGGAGAAGAGGGATGGAAAAAAGACAACCTTCTCCAAAAATCAAACTGTTTCCAAGGGGTTCTGTATAAAAGAAACCCACTGTGATGATGCAGTAGGTACAGACATGCTGGGACCTGTGGAGACTTGGGGAGTTAGAGGCTCTGGTGTTGCAGTGACGGTCACTCTGTCAGGTGCCAGCAGCAGTAGCAGAGTTGAAGAGCTGAAGGCTCAGGCTGCTCCTGTCCATTCCCCATATCCTTTCCTGGGTCAGTGCTGGTCTTCAAGAGCATCTCTGGTTCCTTAGTCTAAACCCAACTTGCATGTTAGTTGCTAATGCTCCCTGGCATCTCATGCCCTACATTGATCTTGTACATTGTGTACTTTGTACGTATCTTCTGGTAATCACTCTTCTGATTTTGCAATGATGCACCACAACATTTCAGAGAGTCACCCCAAACCTTCCTAACCACCAGCTGGTCACTGCACAAGGGGTGGTTGAACAGCACAAGAGCTGTCATTTAGAGACATGGGGATGCTTCCTACCCAGGCAACCCTGGCACTAGGGACCACCAACGTGGGCAGAAGGAGAGCAGAGCAAGAATCCAGCTGTGGCTCTGCAGGATCCTCTCCAAAACTGTGGTGAGATCCCACGGTGAGTTCATGTTGCCTGTGATCTGTCAGGTGAAGGGTGAAGCCAAATTATGCCCTGGCAGAGCAAAAAGGGACACATGCAGGGGGCTTTGACTGCAATATGAGATTTTGGATGTCATTAAAATATCAGGGGAGTTATTTCTGCTAAGTCCTTGCCTGTGAATGTGCTTAAGACACCCTGTGGGTGATGGGCAAATCTGTTTTAAAGATAGTCCTATGACTTCTGCTTTTGCCATTTTGCAAAGAAAAGCAGTTTCTCTTGCTTGCCCTCAGTGGACCTTTGAACCTCTTCTGCAAACTCTTCCCCGTGAGCACTGTGAGGGCTCACTCCAAGGCTCTCTGCCTTTTGTTGTTCAAAACTCACCTGGTGTCTTCAACAGACCCACAAAATATTTTTGAATTAACAGATCTTTCATACGATGTCACTGGTAATTAAGTTTTCCCTGTTTGCTACCAGCACCAAGAGATGATGTCTCAATTCTCTCCCATCACGTACTGGTGCAAACCAGGAATCTCTGTTGTTACTGGCATAATGGTGAAACATTTATGAGAAAAATGTGCCCCATTTCAAAGCGTTTGCTGACTTCTGAGAAAGACAAAGGAGGTTTTTTTTATGATTCACTCTCCCAGCTAGGAAAAAATAATTCATTTTCTGCATCTCCGTTTCACCACTGATAACAGATAGCTCATGTCTCACGGCAGGCTTGTAGCCCTCTTGGGAAAATGTGTTGTAGTTCCCTGTCTTGTGTTTCCCTCTTTTGCACGGACCTCTTCAGATCTTGGCTATACTTCCTACGAGGCTCTAATTTCTAAACAGCTCATGACCATCCCTCTGTGATTGCTCTATGTGTTTAATGGGTTGTTAGAAATTGCTTGTACTCTGCAAATTCTCAGCTTTCATATATTTCAAATTTTGTGTCTTGGGGTCATGAGAATGAACAAGAAATGCAGCAATTCCTTTTTCTTTAAAGCAGTGTGATTATAAGCTTTGAGCTTGTAGCAAAAAGCCAAGTATCTTGCTCAGGGTGTAATCTAGATGCTCAAAAAGCAGAAGGCAAAAGAGATAATAAAATTGCATAACTCTTTTAACCAATCTCATAATATTTTTGAGGTCCCCAAATGATTAAAATGCACCATGGAAACACCACTACAGCACCTGGTTTTCAAGTAATGCCAGGGGGAAGATACTGGCACTTACACTGCATGAAGATGAGATGTAGACCCAAGTTTCTCTGCTCTCCTGCTCTGGGCTGGCACGGGACCATCTCCTGCCCCAAACCAGGATGGTGCAGAGATGCTGAACTGTGCCCAAGCACAACCAACTCCCTCTCTCACTGCCTCCAGCAACCCCCAGTGCTGCTGTGCTGACTCCTGGCATCTTTATGATGACATCCTGTCATTCATGGAATGCTTTCCCTCTAACTTACTATCCAAAAAACCAACTAAGCTGATCTACAGATTTCTTTGCCTTTCATTTCATGAGTTGAATTCTCCACCGATGTACACAGGCATGGCATTGTGGAAGTCATAACCATGAAACCAGCACATCAGATTGCTGTCTTGGCTTCGTGTGAGTGAGGAGGGGCCTATGGTGCAGTGAAACTCATAGAATAGAATCATAAAATCAAATGATTCTACGATTCTGTTCTATGACTCTCACTGCACCAAAAGCCCATGAGGTCTTTTCCAACCATGAGCATTTGCTCAGGCAGCTTGGATTCCTCCTGCTGCCCCAGGAAAGCAGACTGGTGCTGCAGGAGGACCATGGCATGTCCTTCCCATGCGTGGCACAGCTGCCATGCCCAGCACATCTTTGCAGGCTACATCTCCCCTCACTCCACTTCTCCTGTGCAGGGAGGGGGTTAAGAGCCCCTATTAACCGTTAACCACCCTGCAGGCTCTCAACCCATGACTGTGCACACAGAGTGCAACATATGGGACTATTTTAAGTGCCTCTGCTGTGCAAGAAACCACATCCTCTGTATGACTTAAAGCCACCTGAAAGCACCTCTGTGCAACCAGGTGGAGAGGAAAAACCGTCCCTCCAGGCTCTGCTGGCTCTGCTCACTGCCATCTGCTCCCACCCTCCAGCAGTTCCACCAGTTGCCTGGCAGCTGAACATGACCACACATCTAAACAGAAACCAAAATGCTGCATATAGTGTCCAACTGGCTGGAGAGGGAGAAATGAGACAGCTTTGCCCACCTGTCCTTTGCTTGCCTGGAGCCCAAACCCCTGTTCCCTCCATAACTTCAGGACTCCCACAGTTTCTATTGCCAATGTCATGCCCAGTTTCTAACCAACAGGTCCAGGTAGCCATGCTGAACCCTGGCCAAGCTACACATCCTACACAGGTAAGAGCTCCTGGTTTAAGCTGCAAGGAGATAACAGGAAGCTGAGTGAGTTTCCATGAGCTCCAGTTGGTAGAGCCAGGGAAAAAGTAGTTTAAAAACCTTCCCAGTACAATTTTATTTTTGCCTCCCCCCACCCTGCCACCTTCTCCTCTGTCCTGGTTTTTAGAGAAATTATCACATCCTCTTTTGTCCATCCCTCTTAAATCATTGTTTTTTTCTCTTTTGGGAACACAGAAAAGTCAACAGTCATGAAACTTTGTGATCTGCAATGATGACACCTTCTGCAAAGATTTCACCTCCTCCTCTCTTTTCTTGCCTCCCTCTCCCTGTCCCCCCTTTCAGTCCTGTAACTTACCATGTGGAAGATCCCTAGAGCCACTGTTGTTGTCTTGATGTTGAAGCAGCAACATTTGGGGGGCTCAGTGGTCGCTTGGGCAGGCATTTTTCTGATCCTTCTGCACAGCTGTGAGCTAATAAGGTTGAATTTGCAGCAGCCGCCCCACTGAAAAGCAAAGTGAGCAGTTGGGCAGCTCAACTTCCTTCCTGCTCTATAAATGTGTTAAGTCATCTACAAAGTCACATGAGGTCTTTGGTTTCTCAGTAATAAAGAAAGCAAAATTGTGTTGCTTTTCTAACAGATCTTGAATTACTTGCACATCCCAGATGGTGAATATAAGCACAAGTGCTGCATCAAGCAGGTGGTGTCCAGCAAGTGAGGTACATGGGGAGAGAAGGGATCTGAACTGGGGTGCAGCTTTGTCCTACAAAACAAAACAGAAACAAAAGCAGGGGTCCAAGAATTTCACTTTAAACTTGACCTGCTGTTTTTGTAGTGAAACAGCCAAGTTCCTCGGTTTGAAATGGCTCGTTCCTTGCCAGAAAAGTCACCGTTCATTGGAAGTGCTCCTGGCAGCCGATGCTTGAGCAGCTCTGGTCTCTGGGACCAAAATGATGATGGGACTCCAAGGATCAGGGTTGTTGGCCAAGGGATCTGTAGATTTGCTGCTGGTTCCTGTGGCAGCTGATGTGATTTATGTTAGTCAGCTCCTGGAAAAGAAAAACAACAGAGAGATCTGAGCCTGGTGACTTAGCTACTGTAGACATCAGAGTGTCTACCCTTGCTTGAACCTGTTAAAATGTGCTCTATATATTTATCATCATTCTCATTAAAAAAAAATCTTTTATTTTCTTTTCTCTTTTCTTTTCTTTTCTTTTCTTTTCTTTTCTTTTCTTTTCTTTTCTTTTCTTTTCTTTTCTTTTCTTTTCTTTTCTTTTCTTTTCTTTTCTTTTCTTTTCTTTTTCTATTTTCTTTTCTTCTATTTTCTTTTCTTTTCTTCTATATTCTTCTTTCCTCACCCTATAGGACAGAAAAGTCATGCTTTAGACTTTCTGTGGGGCAAATTGACCTGAGTTTCTGGCTTCCTGGCAAAGGTCTGGTATGCCACAGCAGGGTGACAGCTCTCCAGCAGGTAAATGCAGGTAAATGTAATGAGACAGGTGGGGACACTCAAACAAGCTCTCAGAGGACTTGCGTGCCAACATGCCTGGTTTCAGCATCCCAAATATACCCACTGAGTTGATCATTTTGTGCTTCCAGGAGCATTCCTAGCCAGCATATCATACACTTATCACTTAAATCACATGGTCTATAATAGATTGCCCATGTCTTTATGACCAGGGCTCCCCTGCAGAGCTGGGGATCTCTGCAGCACAAAGACATTTCAGGGCAGGGCAGGGTCAGCACAGTTGGGTCCTGTTGTGCATTCCCATAGTTTTATTTGGAATCTTACCAAATCTGACAGTTTATTACTCCAGTTCCAGGGTTTGAAGTCACATGGTTCTCTCATTTTTATTTTTATTTTTTCCCTTTAAGGGTGCTTCTGTGTTTTTCAGTCTTGCATTTGTGGGAAACTTTACAAATAAGAGCTGAACCCAGCTGAACGGAAGAAGAAAAGGGAAAGGATTCTATTTTATTTTTTTTCTTCACTATTTGGTGATTACACTGCATTCTAGCCAACCTCATGACAAGCTGGGGAAGAAGATGGACTCATCTTCTTCAAAAACCTGATGACAACAGTGCAACTCCTGCCTTGTGGTTGGCAGGAGGATGAAAGCAGCCTTGGGGTACCCCTGGGGACCAGCTCTGAGTCAGAGCTCACGCTGCCATGGATACCTTGTGCTCTCCACCATCCCCTGGCTTGAGAGAAATGCAGAAAAAAATACACAAAAAGGCTGAGTATCCTGGGAAAGACTGGAAGATGAGCTGGTTTTACGACAGCTCTAGGTGACTCAGCCCAAGGCTGCATGGTTAGTTTGTGTGTTTTATTTCAGTCCAAGTCCGTGGCTTCAGCCCCAGTTGAACATTTCCTTGCAAACCCAACTGAGCCCACAGTTGGGGGCCCTCAGTATGCTGAGCCCATAATGATTCAAGCTCACCAAGACTGGAAGAGATCTGCTTTCCTTCTACACAGCTTTCCATCCAGGAGCCTCTGCGGGCTCCACAGAGGTGGGCAGGCATCATCATCCCTTTTCTACAGATGGGAAATTGAGAAATATGTGCAGAAATGCCCCAGTTTGTGGCCACAGTGCTGGCCAGAAGAGAGCTGGGAAGGTAACTGGTGCCTGTGGATTCACAGGGTGCTCAGTTTATGAGGAGAGACTTCATTGCAAGAAAAATATGAATTTTATAGACACTGAAACGATAGCATTGGCAGAAGATGGCATCACTGTGAGTTATATTTCTGCAATCCACTCAAAACCTGCCTGGCTTCTGAACAGCTCCAGAATTCACAGATACATTTTTTACACAGAGTAAATTTGAAGTATGTTTGATTTCACTCCTCCCCATATGAGTTTTTCAAGATTCCACCTCTTTTTAGGATGGGAAGTAAATTCTACAGAGTGTAGTTATGAGTCTCCTGTCACAAAAGACCTCCTGCAGCTTCTTGCTTTCCCATGCAAAGGCAAATACATGGAAGCAGCTGGGAAATGCTCCTTCCAGAGAGTATTTTTATTTCCAGAAATAAAGATTTTGTCATGTATCATCACAGCGCTAAAGGGTTTGGGCTGTAGCCCCCCAAATGTGATCTCCTAATTGTTTTAAAGCCACATATTTCTATCAATCTTTCTTTAAGTTTGATGGTAAATATTTTCAAAGCTCTTTAAACCACTGTGGGGGTTCATCTTCCTTTGCTTCAAGTGTCATTGCTGTAGGGTTGTGGTTTTGGGATTGGTTTTGGGGGGTTTTTTTGAACAAAACAGAAGAATAGCCACATCTTCTGGGAACATTTTGTGATCTCAGCACTGTTGATGGGTGTTTATTAACTTTGAGGAACTCAGTGCACCATTAGTCTTGCCTGTTGTTTTAATTTCCCCAATTTTAAGTGAGATTAGGGCTTATCCAGGAGTCAGGACCTTGTTGTCTGACCTGTGCAGTGACCTCCCTGCTACCTAGGACAGGGAACATTTCTGCCACTTTCCCCTTTACCTGTCCTGGGTTATGAGTGGAGCAGAGCAGGGTGGTGCCCTGATGTCTGCTCTGCCTTGGAGCCCTCACCCTGACCACAGCCTCTGCGATATTCATAGCTCTGTGAAAACTTTCCCTTCCTGTGGTCACAACTTCAGCTGAATGAGTGCAAGTGCCTAATATTAGTGCCCAAGCCTAAAAATTGTCTTCCTCCAAGACAGACAGCTCTGTCCCCTGTATATCTCCCTTGAGCACAACACCAGATGGCCACCAACCCTCCAGGCCTCCAGAGATGCTCAACGCTGAGACAGCAGGCACCCACAGTACCATTAATTTAAGTTTAGCCCATGAGGACACAGCAAGAAAGTCCCTTTACTAGAGATGCAATTTTTACTGGCAAAATAAGCTCTTTAGACAACACAACTTCTGCTCTTGTGGGGCAGAAACTGGAGCTCTGGAGATGGTGAGAGGCAAGTTTGCTTGAATATTATCTCTGACAGGAGTGTTTATTTTTTTTCCTCTTCCACACACAGTGGAGCAATGTTATGAATACACACTTACAGGGAGGGGTTTTTTTAAAATTCCAAGTAGTATCATGAATATAGACTTTACTCCAGTGTTTAGAGCTCTTGCTTCCCAGCCTCCATGAAACCATCAGGTGGAGAGAGGAAGGAATGGGAGATAAATGATGAACAATTGCTTAAAATTTTAATGAACTTCAGACTAGGTTTAGACTAAATCCTACCACTTTGGGATCACTTTGGAATCAAATCAGGTCACTTTGGAATCAAATCACTTGTGACTAATAACTGGTAAAATTCTGACATCACTGGTGGTTGTCACTATTATGTATAACATGTTTTTCAGGCTAAGAATGAGGTTGTTTTACCCCATTTTTCAGCATAGCCTTTAACTACTATTAAAAAAACATAATCCAGCTGCAAAGATTTGCTGGAGGATCCATAGTACAACATGAAATTGAAATCTCTTCACACACAGGGAAAGCACAAAGCCATAGATGAAGACTGAAGGCAGCACAAGTGTCAAGCCTTGCGTCTATCAGCACCTCTGGGGCAACTAGAGCTACACCAAACCACAACAATATCTGGAACATCTTTGGGGAAATAGGGTTAAAAATAATATAGGGATTTACAAATTGATCTGTTTAAGCATCTTTCATTTACAAATCAGTTGCAAATACAGGCTTTGCTTTTCCTTCTCCACATGAAATGTGTTTTCTTTGGGGATTGCCTCCCCTCAAAGCCATTTTGTGGGCCCAGCTGAATGAAGGTGCAGGAGGATCAAGTATTTCCTGGTAATATGAAAAGCTGGTTCATAATTTGAACCTGACTTTGCTTGCAAAGTGTACTTTCCCTTTGCAATCCCCCCTCTCCTTTTAGAGGCAGACAGAGGCTTGCTTGTGTGTTTGAGCATACCATGCCCAAACTTAGCTCCCAATGTGCAAAAACAAATAGAAAGTGTGGCCCAGGCTGGGCCATTGGCTTCAAATAGTCCTGAATGCCACTGCAGAATTGGCTTCCAGCATTATCCTGAGTGGCCCCTTTCAGTGGTCTGCATACCAACATCTCCAGACACCCAGACCATTGCTGAAAGATCAGCCTTGTAGGAAGTCGGTCTGCTCTAAGGAACACAGCCTTGTTTTTTTTATGGAGCTATGGACATATATTTTATATGCTTTGCAGAGCCTTGCCCCTGCCTCCTTCCTGGAAGCAATCCCAGGTGGGACCTCTCATTTGAGGGGGTCTCAATCCTTTGGCTAGATTCACAACTGGCTGCTGTGGGAAAACATCTCCCATCAAGCCATCTCCTTCAGAGAGAGCACGAGGAGAAGCTGAAATGAGCCATGTGCCACTCTCCTTTGCACCCATGGCAGCAAATTTCTTCCCGGGTTTGGGTGTGCTGCTCCTCGATGAGAGTGGAGCTGAACTGGAGTGTAGGACTGAGAAGAAGCCACTGAGAAGAAACCAGAGCTACCAA